AGAGTTAATACTTCAATCCGGATTTATATATCCGGATATATTACTATGTCATATGATATGATATAACATAGTAAAATCCGGATTTATTTATCCGGATTTATTATATCCGAATTTTATATAGTAAAACCGGATTGAAGTATTAACTCTACCCCGGACAACCATCGTTAGAGGTTAGCTCGATTTAAAGTTAGGGTTAGATTAACGCTGATTAGAATTCTTATATAGTAATACGAATCAAAGGTAAATCACACTTCATTAGATAGATTTTATTATATTTATTATTTATTATTATACCTAAAATTACATAATAATATAGTATTATTACCAAAAAATATAAAATACCACACATCATTTTAACTACGTATATTTTTCTCTTGCTATAACCACTGCCTTGGAAAGTATTTTCCTACTATTATCTTTGCTTTTAATACTAATCAAAGGAAATGAGCAGATCTCAACTTCTAAATTATCCATGTTTTCATCATCCCACGACCCATCCATAACACTATTTTGTAAAGGTACACCAGCTTCAAAAAAATACGAATATTCCGGTACAGGTTCTTGTGCTTGTAACCTAAAATATAAATGTACAAACTTTTTAACTACGTCTACTGCTTTATAACAGAATTCTCTATGTTTTTCATCGCTATTAAATTGCCGATATTTTAATGCATTTTCAAAGATATATTTTGCCATTTTATCAATTGTTTGATGATTATCTTTGCAAAATCCTCGTGATCCTAATACTGAATAAATTTGTTGTCGAACTTTTATGGGTGCTACGCGTGAGATTTCGTCACTTCCTTTTCTCGTTTGGGCAAGTCGACCAATTAATTTACATAATGTTGACATTTGGCTTACAATTTCTGCTTCAAGATAAGTATCATCAATAGGTGAAATAGAATTTCTTGAATTATATTGAGGTTGTTGTTGTGGATATGATTGTTGATTTGGTGGTACCGGCTGCGTATGTTTTGGTTTTGGTTGAGGTGGTTTAATAAAATATTTATTTGTATAAGAAATCAACATATCAAAAGTAATTCGTTGTAGAATTGCGCTTAATACTGGTTTTCCCTTTCCTCCTACGATCTTTGTTGTACATTTAAACGCAAGCAAGATTTCTGATGCTGCCTTTTCATTAATAGCAACATTTTTAGTTATATAAACTACTTTTGAATTGTAAACCTTTAATAATTAATATAAAACATTCTACTTCTATTT